GTGTGCAGACACAAACCCACTCGGAAACAAAGCCTTCCTGCTACACCCTGTGGCCCTAACTGGCTGTTTGGCATCACATTATTAAGATTTGTACTAAGAGGGAGCGGAGTGGAGGGAGTGGGGAATGAAAAAGGAAAACTTGCTGTGATTCCGGCAACATGTCGTGTCCATGGCTGGATATCTCCGGCCAAATGCTTTGCAATTTTAGCTTTATTTCTCTCCAGGGACAATCGGGGGCTTTTTAAGATGATGATTTCCTAGTGACCATGGGACTTCCGTGAGGCCACTCAGCAGGGCTTCCAAAACCCTTGAAACATGGTGGGGTACCACAACTGGGAAGGGATACAGGGGCATGAGGAGGAAGAGACCGAGCTGGTGAAGGAGTCACCAGGCATGGCCTCCTGAGCAGAGGCTTGTGGGAAGCGGAGACAGGGACTCACAGCTCCAGCCTCTCTGAGGGCTGAGCCTGGGGAGGAAGCTCAACCAGTCACTTGCTGCACCTGTACGTTTGCACAGCAGGGGACACCCAGGGAGAGCCAGGCTCAGGGGTCTTCATAAAGAAAGGCTCTGCACAGAAGGTGTTTCTGAACTGCTGCTTGACTTCAGAGATTAACCCAAGCCTGTTGGCTGAGACAGGAGCTGCTGCTTCTGATAAAGGGAAGTGGTAGGTGCAGGGTGCGGGTAGGGGGGCGAGCAGGGGGAGTCGGCTGTCATTGGGCCTTGCACATAGAAGAGAGCTAACACTCAGGCTCTCAGGCTCTCAGACTGCAAGAAGCAAAGGACAGAACTGTGGCGAGAGGTCAGCCCCCCACTCTCCCTCCTCGCTATGGTGCCAAACCCAGGATATCCCTCCCTCCTGTCTTAGGAAGCAACGGGGAAGACGCAGGGAAGCCCTGAGCTCAGGGGATCAAAGGGAAAGCACAGGACGCAGAACGCTGTGGTGTGTGAAGAGCTAGCTCCTTCTGATTTACGGCACATCCTCCCGGCTTCCCCGAGGAGAGCCCGCTGCCTAGCGGACTGGCGGATGGATGTCAAATGGTAGGAGTACGTGACCAAGAACAGCAACAGGGATACGAAGGACAGCCAGTAAGAGACACGCATGCTGATCACAGAGGAATTTAAAAAGCTTAGGGAAGGACAGAGTTATCAGATCTCGGTCCGGATGCTTTAGAAGGGGCAGTTTTCAGAGAAAACCAAGGAGCCATACCTCTGTCTAGAACTTAGTGAGGGCAATGCAATCGCAGAAGTCTCAGCACTATGCTGGGGGGCAAGTCAGGCAGCAAGGCCAGAATGCCCACAGCCCTTGTGTCATGGCAGTGGCAGTGTCTATAGGCAAACTCTCAGGACCCTTCCCCACACAGGACCTGGGCCGATTCAGGTGCAGCATGAAAGGAGGCCCAGCCAGAGAGGCATTCCAAAATGCTACATCCTTAGAGCCCCCAGAGCCCAGGGAGGGCCCCGCCAGGCAGCCGCTGACCTGTTTCCTTGAACTGGGGAAAGTAAGAAGGTGTAGGCAGCAGACATTCCTGTCCCACGGGTGGGTCAGAGAAGAGGGGGTCCACAGCTACAGTACAGGGAGGCAGCTGCAGCAATTGGGGACCTAAATGTCCTCCCGGGGACCCTCCCGCTCAGCCCCAGTGAACGGACTGCTACCCGCAGCCTGCCCAACAGGTACTCAGACTTTCGAGTAACCATTTACTCACCCACCCAGCCAGGTGTCCTGGTTCATGCCAAGTGGGTGCACAGACATGGACTTCACATACGGAACGGACTCTCTAAATAAAGTTAAGATGCACCAAGGCACTGGCTCCGCAGATTTGTATACAGGCTCACAAAATGACACTATCATCCTAGGCACGAGAGGTAGGGCTTTACCTGAACTTTTCAGAGGATAAAAAGGCATTTATCTGAAGCCTTGACAGGCAAGAGCTGAGGCAGCCCTTTTAAAAACCTTAAAGTAGAGGTGAAGACGGCCAGCTTTAGGATCAGAAGACTCAACTTCACCAGAACAACCACCAGCCACTTCGCACCTGCTCTGTGAAAGCCTGGAGCCAACAGGCACCTTGGGTTGGGGAGGTGATGGCTGATGGGCACAGAGAGGGAAACAAGGCATCCCCTGCCCTCAGAGACCTGGGCAGGGAGAAGGTCAGGCAGGACCTGCATCCTCAAAGCCTAGGGAAGCATCGTTTCAAAGCACACCAGCCAGAGGTGTTGAAAGAAGAAAGAGGTCCCATCTGGGGCAGAAAGATTAGGAAAGCTTCATTCTGGGTAGGTCTGGAAGGTGGGGGAATGACTGACAAAGTCCAGTGTGCCTATTTATTTTCTGACCTTGTTTCAAGGTCGAATCACAAGCCTGAGATTCTATTTCATCTGCCAAGTCGGGATTGATGTCTCCTTCCCACTTTCAGTTCCTTGGAAAAGCAGGTCTTGGTAAAAGCCATGTACTATTATTACCCTCAGGAAGAATGCCAAGAACAGAGTTCTGAGATGTCCCGCCCCAGATCTGAGCCCAGAGGATGAGCTATCCAGCCAGCGCAGTCCCAGCCAATCCCCAGAGCTCTGGTGGGAATGCGTTTCATTGGGTGACATTGGCTTTGAGGGGACCCAGAGGATATCGGTCATATGACAATTGTCAGATCAGCTCGCTGTAGAGCCCCACACGTGGCATAAACAGGGACAAACCAAAGGGGTATTGGGACACACAACAAAGTTAGGTTAGAGGTGGAGGTGCTCTCTTGCAGTCCTAATTTTCTTTCAAGGCCCAGCCCCAAGTCGGACGTTCCAAGCCTTCTCGTTGCCATCCACACCTGGACTGACCATGGCTTTGCATTGCTTTACCAGACTGCCTATGTTCCAGTTATGGTGCACATGCTGGTTTCCCTCGGCGCAGCGCCCGCCCACAGAGCACTGCACACAGCCAATGCCCAGTAAATGTGGCCTGGTTAAAGATTACACCCTCCCCCCGCCTTCTCTTCATCAGGCAACCAGAGGATCTTTCTGAAATCTTGTGACAAGAGTGCTTTGAAGTTCCAGGTAAGAGATCTTGGAACTGGACAGTTGCCCCCACCCAGGTAGCAGGAACAGATTTCCTGAGTGGCCGTGAGAACTGGGCCCTCAGGCCAGCACCACAAGACAAGATCTCAGGCCCTTTTCTCAGGCCGCATCATGACATTTTGGGAGCCCAGAGGCAATTTTGTTATTTTCCCCCTGCCATTGCAATCTCAGCTTGGCCTTCCTCACCCAGAGCTCAGCCCCTTCTGCCATCTTTACCTGTCCCTTAGATCCAGCAGAATGGCCTGAAGGTGGAGACAACAGCCCTCTGGGAAGTGGCCCTTCACCCTGGGACATGTTCAGAAGGAGAATATAAAAGGCACACACAAGACATCCTGACTGTGTTTGGAAACGTTCTGTGATGGAAATCTAAAACCCAAAACTGAAAGAAGGTCTCACCTGTAACCACAGAGAGATTCGGTCTGATTCAGTGGCTTGGAAACTGGTATCCAAAAACACCCTGGCTGGTGGGCCAGGAAACTTCTACCCTCCCACAGGCTGTGGGGCCTTTGATTGTCTGTTTCAGACCCTCTCTGGGGGTGGAGGGTATAAAACCAACCAGGAGAGGGTATTCCCCCTCCTTCCCTCATCTCCTCAGGCCACATGAATACTTATTTCCAGCCAATGAAAGGGGCTTGGCCAGACTGACACAAAACAAAGGGGCCTTCTTGAACCTCCCAGTGTGTCGCCTACCAAGTTACCTTACCCAGACTTAGCTTTCATCTCAGCTCTTCGATCAACAACCCCACCCCCCATCACCCTCACACGCCCGCAGCTTTCTATTTGTTTCTTCCTCTACAAAACAAATGCCCTGGAATGGTTCTACAGAATGACTAGCCAGAGCAAGTCCAGATTCTAACCAAGACCAGCTCCAGGCACAGACACACGACATGTCAGAAGAGCAAGGCTTTGGAGTGCAGGTCTACTCAGTCTGAGCCTGTCTCTTCACCTGTTAAACGGAGCAAGAACTCCCACCTCAGAGCTACGGTCAAGAGTAAACGAGTAAATTTGCAAAGTGCACGGCTCACAGCAGACATTGTTAGTATTTGCTGAATGGGCCGGCCCATCACACCCTATTCATCTTCCCCGCGCCAATGCTCCCAGCACCAAGGTCTTCCCTTAAAAACAGACTCCTTCCTCTCCCACGTGCAATAACCTAGGAACTCCTCTTGGAAATATGGAAACAGTCTACTGTCCCAGAGGTATCTGAAGATGCTGTGTAGCTGGCCAGGCCAGCGCACAAGGGCATGGCAGGTGAGGAAGAGCACTGTGCTAAGAATCTGAAGGTGTTATTTGGGCCACTTTTTGAGTTCTTATGTATTCTGGATCCATCACACAGGATGAACTCTAATCTACATGCCAGCAGTCACATCCCTGAGATAGCTTGCCTTTGGGGACAGTTCTCCTCAATACTAAGTACTTTGAACATTAACTCTGTTAGCATCAGCGGGTCAACCATCAATCTGAGGAAGAAAGCAGCATGTGACACAGATATTCTTCCACCAGATCACCTTTGCCCATAAGCTACCCTTCAACAGTGATGTTTCTATTGCCCAAGGCCTGGCTGGGAAGGGAAGTTCTGGTCTGAACTGACTGCACAAATCACGTCTCCCCTTTGCTGCTGTGAATGGGAGGGTCCACAGCAGCCAGCATGACTAACCAATGACGTCAGTTCATGCTCGCTGAACCCTTACTGTGTGTCCCAGGCACTATGAATGCTTTCTCCACACCACCTCATCAAGTTGGATCTTTACCACCATTTTCCACAGTAAGGACTATCGTTGCCCCATTTTACAGGTGAAGAAACTGAGGCTTACTGGCATTAGGGGACTTTCCCAAGGTCACATAGCAGTTCCAAGTGGCACTGGGATGCAGAACCACGTCTGCTCCAGCCCCAGCAGAAGTTGCCAGGCTCTGAAGAGCCAGAATGAACCCAGTACTGAACTCACCTGATAGGAAAGGCCATCCTTTCGGGGGTTGAGGCCAATCTCCTCCATGGATGGGGTGTTCATCATCACCTCAGTCATCTCGGCAGATCTCAGGTAGTCAGGGCTGCCAAGAAACCCAGACCAAAAGTCAACAAACACACGCACTTTCATGTTCCTATCCTTGGTGCGTTCTGCTGTCAGATCAGGGGACTGTCTGGAGGCAGGATGAGAGGTGTTCAAAACAGACCTCACAGAAAAACAAGCTCACACCCTGAGGAAGTGCCGTACAAGCCCAGGGCAGCACGGCTCTCAGTCTCAACCAACAAAGCCCCAAAACTGCCTGGAAACCTCTCTGGCAAACCTCTCTTCCCTCCTCTCCTGTACAAGTCCCCACTGGCACAGAGCAACTCTGGATTTTCTTTTAAGTGACAGAACAGAAAAAACCATACCAGTAGGTATCTGAGTCCATTTGTCTCTATTAAAACCAATTCAACCCGTGTCTAGGAGAACTGCATGTTATTATTACATAATGATAACAGGTCAACCTCAGGGAAACCAAGTCCAATAATGCTGCCTTGCTAAATTTCACGCGCACGCTCTCTCTCTCTCTCTCTCTCTGGTGTTCCTTTTTGCAAAATATCCCACTTAAAGCCCCAAGGGGTCAGCTTCCTGCAAGCGTCACATCTGCCATCCAATCCCCTTCCCTAGCCCAGCCACAGCAGCTGCAAGCTCACAGCTTGAAAAACATCCCCTGGATTAAAAGCCTTAAAGATGCCCAGACTCTGATTGCAAAGGAAATTTCCAGAGGGGCCAAGCTGGCCCACCAATGGCTGACATGTGAAAGTGCTTTGTACTCTGTAAGCAGGATACAAATGTTCCATTATCCCCACACAAGCCACGGGCACCTACGGGGTCCCGAGTGCACAGTGCCAAATAGTACATACCAAAGTCAGTGTACGCCCTACACAACACCCAATATTTTCACCATCATGTCTTTACACATTGTTAGAAAAAAAGAAAGCAGGCAAGGCTTTAAGACCGACTGCATCTAAGGAAGCAGGGTTTCCTTAGATTCTTCTTCATTTTATGATGACTACATAGAGTAGAAAGAGCGCTGGATTTGTGAACAGAAGCAGGAGGTCTGGTCCAAGCTCTGTCACTCAAAAGCTGTGTGATCTCGAACAAGTAACCTAACCTCTCTGAGCCACAGGTGCTCTGTTTCTTACCATGATGCTAATAATGCATATCCCACAGTTATGCTAAATGGCTAATCTCTGGGGGGGAGAAAAACCATTGCAAACTATGAAGTGCTAATCTACTATGAAATAATTCCCAATTATTTTATTTCCCTTCATTTCTCAGGGGATAATAACCCTGATGGGCCCTGACACCCACCTTGGCAAGTTTTGGGCGGTCAGGGGCACAAAGCCTCCAGTTGCCTTGGAAGTCTCACCCACATGGCACCTGCTGCTCACACAGCATGGAAGTGGGAGGGAAGGGGCACGCATCAGGAGGGGGGTACGCAAGCCTCACGGGTGGGGGAATTTTTACTTTGTTTGGAGAGTTCATGTCCCTAAACAGAGCCAGCGTGGGGGAGGAGAGACAGAAGATGCTGGGCTTCGGGCAAGGGTTAGGGTCAAAAGTGGGGACTCCAAAGGCAGATTCATCCGGGGTCGTGGAAAGGCTGCCGCCGACCCCCAAGGAAACGGGCCCGAAGAGCGCCCACCCAGCCCCTTGCCTGGTGTAGCGGCGCTCGCTCCTCGCTCCGGGCTGTGGCGCGGGCCCGAAAAGTTGAAGCGAGAAGCATGAACTTTCCGGTTTCTGGGCTGAGCAGGACCGCGCCGAGCGGGAGCCCGCGGAGCCGGTCAGCGGCGCCCGCACCTGAAGGCGAGCTCCGAAGCCGCCAGTGCTCGACCCCTGGCCGCTCCTCCTCTTCCCCGAGGCAGGAAGGAAGCGGCAGCCGGCGCGGCTGGGGGCCTCGCTCCGCAACCAGCGCGGCGCCCGCGGCGCATCCCTCCCGGCCCAGATCCCCGGTCCTTGCGAACCTCCTCCTTCCCCTGCCCGGCCCCGGATTCTTCCAGCCCATCCGGCGAGGGCGGCTCCCCAGCCCCAGTCCCGGCCCCCACAAAGCCGCATCGCGTTTTACGGGTTATAGAGAGGAATGAGACCGAGAGGGTGCAGCGTGTACTTGTACTGCTGCTTGTGGCTTTAACCGGGTTCCGTGTGGGGAGAGCAATTTTCCCCACCCCTCGAAGCTCTGCAAAAGCCGCCCGCGCTGCACCAGCTCGGCCCCGCGGCTGCCGGCCTCGACGCCGAGACTTGCATGCAAACAAAAAGAAAAAGGGGAGGGGCCCGGGGAGAGCTGGAGCCCCCTGCGCCGGCCCGGGCGCGTGCCTCCTGCAGCCCTCTGCATTAGGGTTTTATTAGCGGGGTTCAAGCTTGATTCCTGGTCCCCCACCCCCACCCCACCGCCAGCACATACACACCCTCGCAGCCGTCACTTAAGTGACGGCTTCGAGTTCACTCCCTTTGTCTGGATGCTCTCGGCACCCCCTCCCCCCACCCCCACCTTTGCAACCTTGACGTTGACTCCTTCACGGGTTGGGAGGCGGGCGAGTGCGGGCGTCCGCGCCGCCTGCTGCCCTCGCACCCGAGCCCGCAGGAGCAGGAGCCCGGGCCCCGCAGCCATGGCCGCGAGACGGATGCCCGCCGAGGGCGCAGGATACTCACCAGTGAATGGGGAAATATACAGACATGAAGTCCTAGGGGAGGCTGACCCACGCCCTTGTGACTTAAAAACGGTCACTGCGTCCCGAGTAAGGGTGTCAGGGGCGCAGACAGGCGCGGCCGGCGGCCGAGCGCAAGCACTAGGCGTTCACGGGTCCGCCTTCCGGAGACAGCCCCGCTGCCAGCGGCGTCCGCAGAGCACACGGAGCTCTCGGTTCTCCACCGAGCTCGCGGCCCCACAAAGAGCCCGGGAAGCCGTATTTATAGGGGCGGGGGGCGTGGCTCGGCCCCGGGAGACCCCGCCCCCTCTCACCCACTCCTGGAATAACGTCACCAAAATCATGAATGGCTTCAGCTCTCGCAGCTCCCGCGGGCGGCGGCTCGGGGGCGCGCTCAGGCTCAGCTCCCCCGAAGGCCGTGGTTTGCTTCTAGCCGGCCTCCCTCCCCACGACTCACACACGCACACACGCGCGTGTACACGCGCGCGCGCACACACGCACGCACCAGGGTGGGAGTTCAATGTCAACGCCGCTTCCCGCCGACGAACCCGCCGGCGTCCGCGCCCCTCTCCGCGCCCCCCTCCTTGCACAGTCCCCTGGGCGCTCCGGGAGGAGGACTGTGGGCTAGAGGAGGGCGCTGGGCGGGTTCCGGACGTGACCGCTCGGCGGCCGCGCTGCGCGGTAGGAGGGCGCCATCCTTCGACCCTGGATGCCTGGCTCCAGCGCCCTCCTTTGCACCCTTTCCTCGTCCCCAACCCAGAACTCGGGACTCCTCTTTCGGCGTTCAGCCCCCAAACTAGGCCTCTCCCGCGACACCTCGATCCCTGCGCGGGAGGCGCGTCCCTTCCATCTCTGGCAAGCTGCGTGGAGATTAGAGCACCGCTGAAAAAGAGGCGGTGGGAAGGTGGGAGGGGACGCGAAGCTGGGGAGAAGAGTTAGCTTGCGAGGGGCTGATTTGCAGCCTGCAGATCCGTGGAGGGTTTTATTTGTGTGAGAAAGGATGTGGTGTCGTCGTAGGGTTTTTCCACTGGACACCTACACACACCGTGGCGCGGGGCATGGGGTGCAGGTGGGCACTGCGCAAGCCCACCCCACCATCCTTGGCTCCCAGATCTGCTGCAAAGAGCAGAAACAAAGAGCTTCAGCCAAACCCCTCCCACGCTGCGCAAGAATTACAACTCCAGGGGTCTGTCCAGGTGGTCAGGCTTCGCTGTCCCCACAGCCAGGATGGGAGTCTGCCCCTCTGTGGCTGGAGCGCGTTGCTTCACACCTCTGCTTCAAAAACTCCTGTAAAATGGCTTTAGAACCCTGATCTATATGTGTACAGGGAATTTGAGGAAGTGTGTGTATGAAGAAGAGGAAGGGGGAGCTATCAAAAACTTGGCAAAATTGAACGTGCTTTTGAAGTTAGCTCCTTGAAAGGTGGTGGACGTATTAAATCCATAGATATGTGCTTAAAAGTGGAAATACATACACTTATCTCAGGTAAAGGATGGTAGGATTGATGGTGAGGGTTTAACAGTGGCAGGACCATGAGGAAGCCCAAATAAAAATAAGGATAAGAATTAAATAAAAATAACTTTGCTATTTTTAGTCAGTCATATATATACAACCTAAGTTATAAACAGTGTACTTCCTATGAAAACACAGCTTCAAGCCCCTCCCCACAAGCTGTTCCTTTCAGCCAGAGAAATTCAGGAGCTTCTCCCCACCCCAACTCCACCCAGTAAGATAAATCACAAATTGATTTATGCTGCCCAGTACCACCTTCATGCTGCTCCTCTCCAGGTAGTGTCCTGATGGAGGTCGATGCTTCTATGGACACGTGCTAAGCGGAGATGCTCCAGTATGGGGTTACTGCTAACAGCTGGGTGGGGGGGCGGGGGGGGGCGTTCATGCCTTTTGCATAAGGTGGAGAAATTTCTGGAAGGCTGTGTGACATGTTGTCATCTCCGCAGCCAAAGGAGAAGCCAATGCTTGGAGAGCTGGTTTCCAGGTTGAAACTTGACAAGGCCTGAGGTAAGCCCTGGGAGAGCAGAACCAATGCCCTCTGCCATTTCTCCCCGGAAGCAATCCCTGGCAAGACCTGGGATGAAAGACTGACTCACCACTTTTACATACCAACAGTGCCACGTTACATGTTTGTGATTATTGCTTGTGAGGTTTTCTTTACTCAGAAAGCTACCCCCGACCCCTGCAACACACACACACACACACACACACACACACACACACACACACCCTTAAAGTGTCAAAATGGCCTCATTTTGAAGAGGTTGGGAAGTAAGGCCTCTGCCAGCAGATGTCTGGCCTCCTGCAAATTTCCTACATTGGAGAACCTTCAGGTAACTAACTACCTGATGCCTCCTCTTGAGGAAACTTTGTATTATGCCATTTTAACTAACTTTACCTCTTGTCAGTAAGTTGGAATGGAAAGCAAGCCTTGGGTTAGAACCCCAAATCTACACTTTCTGTTTCCCCACTGGAGCCACAGTGGTGCATTCATTCACATGAAAATATGGGAGGCAGGGGCTAAACTTCGGCATAACAACTATGGCATTTCTCGATCGTAATACTTTTTGTAACGCCTTGCAGTTTTTCAAAGCATTTTCATGATCTCGGCTTTGGGAAGAATGTAAGAAGATTACCACAGTACTACATACAGTCCCTAGCTTACAGTGTGCAAACGGAGACTGGAATAAATTACGGCACTTGCCAAAGATCACACAGCTACTCTGCTACTTTGCTCTGGATCAGCTCTGTAAAGACACAGGGTATTTGAACATGCTTCCCAATATCCTGTGAGATAGGATATCTTCCTTCTGTCCCTACTGCCTTCGAATAAATAAACAGAAACACCAGTGAATGAAGTTAACATAGAGCCCCAGAACCTTAGAGCTAAGAGACCTTCCAAATCACCGAGTCCAGTCTCCTCATTTTACAAGTGAGAAGACACCTAAGAGATTAAATGGCATGTCCAAGGTCACCAGGCTATTGAATGGTGTAGATGGAATCTGAACGCAGGCCTGCAGACCACTGGGCCAATGTTTTTTCCACTACCACTCTATGTCTTGCGCTGCCTCTGCCGAGAAGTCAGCAGCAGAAGTGAAACACAGGACCTGGAGTCTCCAAACCACATCAGCCCACAACTGACATTCACTGAGCTTCTATTATGTGCAGCCCAGTGAACTAAACATCCTTCTGCACTCCCTCCGTCTTCCACCTTTGTCCCCGGGAACTCACGGGTCCCAGTGCAATTCTGCTTCAATAGATATCCAAGTGTGATCAGCCCTGCCTTGCTTTCCAACATCACATACATCCAGTTTCCCAGCTCTTTCTCTCTCATGCCTAAAATAAAAATTCCTTTATATATTGTTAGAGTTCCCTCTGGCACCACTGTGCCAGGTATGCAGGCCACGTAGCTAATTAGTCATTAAGTTAAAAAGTCTCCATCTAAATTCATTTAGCAATCTGGTTCCATGCTTTATCCTCCCCCTGCCTTGCAAAAAGACAGTATTGTATGTAATCTGCCTAGCAGTGGTGCCTCTGGTTAGCCGTAAGGGACTTCATGAAGCAGCTAAGTACACTCAGATGCACATTTGTGCCTCGCAATGACTTTAAGACATAGGCACTGTTCCATTTGTCAGATGAAGGAAGAGAGGCTCTGAGAGATTAAGCGGGCCATGGCCACACAGCTCGCAAATGGCTGAACCAGAATTTGACTCTGGGTCTTGTTGGTTCTAAAGCCTATGTTTTCCCCACAATCCCACATTCATCCTGGCCCTTGTGGCTTCATTGATTTGTTTTAACAGAGAAACTACAAACTGAATATTACAATGTTAGTTCCAATGGCAAAGACCAGGACTACTGGAGTCCATCCAGTGAGGTAGGGCTGGTGGAATAAAAACATTTCCCACCCACCCTGGGAATCTGGGAGCTTCTTAAAGATATGTCAAAGGCGTGGGGTTAAAAAAAAAAAGTGAGTAGGAGAAGGGGAGTTTCTAGCCAATTTTTTCAGTGAAACTCGTTTGAGTACATAAGAAATCTGAAAGGCAAGAATGTGTGTGGGTTGATGTAAGGATGAAACGAGATAGAGTTATGAAAACACTTGGTAAGCTGGAAAGCACTGAGCAGATACAGGGCTTGTTTTTAAGGTGCTTGGGGGGAAATATGGGGTTCAGCAGAGTTGATTGCATCTGCTTTGGTTTTTCACTCAGTTCAACCACGGACTGCCCCATTTTCCCCTGGAGTCCCTTGACTGAAGCTTCCCGCTCCGGGTGGGACAGACAATGGAGGCAAGCAGTGAAGCTCTGGCCGGTGGGTGCTGTGGTGGCCCCAGTGTCCCCACGTCACCCCTCACCCCCCCAAGAGTTCCTCCAGTCTTCGGTGCTCCGCAGCACATGTCCAGCTGTGTTCTGGACGCATTACGAGTGAGCAAGGCCTGTGTGTGGGCATGCTTCCCACCTCAGCCGTCAGGGAATCAGTCCATGCACAAACAACCCAAGCCCACCAGACCAAATCCTCTAGCCTTTGACTCACTTTGCTGTCCGTTCTCAGGCACATTGCATGACTGCTCTCTTAGGAGTCCCAGACTCCTAAAGCAATAAAGCAGGCAACAGGAATCTTTTTAGTTCTCAGGACACTAATAAGGCAAAGAGAAATTGCTCTATAAATGCTCAGGGGAAAGGGCTTTGCATGCTATCATCAGGGCTCTGAGGCCCGACATAAAGCATGTGGGTACTCTTGCACTGTGCTATCTTGGGGGGGGGGCTCCTTCTTTCCACCCAGAATCCCTTCACCCCACCTCCCACCCCCAAAAGAAGGCTGGGATCTGCCAGCCCACAAGCTTTTGCCTTCCCACATATCAAAGAGATTCGGCCCTGGCATTTTCTTTATTTCTATCAAGGGGCCTTTGAACCAAGGGGATTTTTAGAGAAAGAAAACTCTATGGAATCTTTAGGGTCCAGGCTCTTGAAAGAAAACACTAAAACTGGAGCCAGTTCAAGGCACTCGTGTCCAATTAAGGAAATGCTCACATTCCGATCCT